TGGTTATCACCTCTTCGGAGATTTTCGTAATTTGTGTAACTAGAACGGTCGCTCCTGGAACATAAAAGACGAGCAAGATCAGCCTGATAATTTCCGGTTAAAAAAATTATATTAAAATTTACTATGTCGTTCTATTTTTCACCCCAAGTGTAATGTAAACCGAATTAAATTACTCTGGCTTAAACAGGCTTTTCAAGCTAACTTAAAGTTAGATCTCATATGTATATTATATAAATATAGATGCATAATTCTGTAATATATATAATAATGAAATGCTATGTAACCATAATGTCGTATCCATTTGTAAATTACAAATCAAGAAAAAGGGATCAGGTAGCAATTTATATGCGTCACGTGATTTTTAATTTACAAATTTTTTAGTACGTAATCAGTTTAAACCTATTTGGCTTTAGACGATCTTCAAGAAAACCTAGCTAAATATGAAAGCACCAATCAACGTCCTAACGAGTAAATTTGCATGATTAATATACTACTTGAAGATACTGTTATCTGTTTTTATTGTTTGATTATTTAGGCATGTTATTAACGGAAAGATTAATCCATTTTATTAATTATACATGCATACTAACGGAAAAGTATTAAAAAAGCAAATTAGATTATTACTAAAAGAGTCGAATAATAAGTTCTACAACAAAGTATTTATAATGAAATTCTAAATTATATTGTAAATGGTAGTGAAATAAACGAGCCTATTAGTTGAATTGTCGAAAATGGAGCTATAGTAAATAGGTTGATAAATCAATTCTATAACTAATTTTAAGATATATTAAAAAAAAAGAAATATTTCTAAAAATAGTTTAGTAAATTATCAAGAAAAAAGTCATCCAGCTTCTGTATCTAATTCGAAACTCTTTAAAAAGGTTGGATTTGCTTATGATGTCTATTAGGTCTATTAGTGCCATTAGAACCATTGGAACCATTGGAACCATAGGAACTATTGGAACCTTTGGGACCATAGGAGTTATTGGAACCATTGGAACCATAGGAGCTATTGGAACTATTGGAACCATCGGAACTATTGGAACCATCGTAACTATTGGAACTATTGAAACTATTAGGACACAATGCTTTCCAATCATCAGGTGGGTTTAATTTTTTAATTTCATCAGGTTGCGTAACAAATTGCGCAACTAGTCCTGCTTCAACGTGCCACTATAAATATCATATATATTAGAGTCAAATAAAAAAAATATATTAAAATTTGAAGAGATTACTGTGATGAAATTACCTCAATATGACAGTGAAATCCCCATACACCCGGATTATTCGATACAAATCGAAGAATAGTCCATCTAATGACAAATAAATTATAATAAAGTCAAATTTATAGATCAAACTTTTTTTAAAAAAAATCCAAAAATTAACATACCCGCCGGCAGGAACAGTTGCGGTATCTCGTTGTATTGGATCTTTAGTATTTGCTTTACTATAATCTGGTTGGGTGCCACTTTCACCTGAGCAGAGGACCCAAAATACATGGCCGTGCTAATATTAATTTAGAAATTATTTAATCAATACTTATTAAATACTTGCTAATTATTTGCCTATTAATTTGATAAGATTACATACTAAGTGGAATGGATGTTCACCAGTGTCTTGATCTAATTAATTAAAATATAGAAATAAAAAATATATAATTTGATAAGTGATAAATAAAAAAAGCCATTTTTAATAATTGGTAAAAATTGTTATCTGTACTTATTAATACAATGTCTACAATTTCATTTTTTTCAATTAAGAAAACATTTTGATCAGCCGCAAATTGCGTTATACCATTATAGACCTTTAAAATTGTAGGATAGTTGTCTATTTTATAAGTTGAATTGTTTATATATCCTAATACGACATTATCAGCATCTGGCTGGAAAACAACCACTGCTGTAGTCGTAAAGTTTTTGCTTGAATTAGGAACTTTTTGTGGTTTATAGGGTTTCAGATCAGCAGCATTTAAATCCACACAATTTTCAACATCGTCACTCCAAGCAGTTGATGATGGACTTTGATCAGTACTTCCATTATATGCAACAACAGCTTTTACTAGAGGATTGAGATCATCTGGTACAACGGCATAACAAGAAGTTTCCATTTCTGCACGCATCCAATATTGACTTACAGGTTGATTAGCCGTTACAATAACTGAGTAACGCTGAGCAACATTAATAGGAAGGCGGTGAACTGTGTGACGCTTGGTCATCATTCCTTCAACTTCAATTACATCCAGAGGATGCCCATCGATCGAAAAAATGAAAGCTGAAAATGCTCTATTGGTAAATATATATAAATAAATAAATTATAGTGATAACAAATAATAATAATAACAATAATAATAATAATAATTAATTAATTAAAAAGTTAAGAAGCCTACGAGGAATTAATAATTCTAAGTCTGTATTTCTTTCCATGAACGAAATTGAATTGTGTCAATGGAGCATTATTAACGCAATCACTGCCTTCTGGTGCCCATGAGCAATTATAAGAATTTCGTCCATTAATCAAACCGTTATCGGGAGATGGTTCATTTCCTTGACTCTCAGGACTCAAAAAAGAAACTAATAAAGTTTTTGCATCGGTATGATACCAATCTTGTAATATCACAATTATTTCTTCATCACATTCATCTTTATAAGGATCATCAGGATCATGAATTATAAGAGGTCCCATTATTCCTTCAATATATTGAGTTCTTGAATGTGAATGACTATTTTTTTTTTGCAAAATATAAGAACTCTTTAAAAATCACATATATTTGACAACTCATGTAATTATATAAGAAAAATTACTTACTACCAGTACGTCCCGCTTTGTTCCACTTTATATTTGTAGGTGAATGATCCTTTTGATGGAATTCCACATTGAGATTGACCAGGAACACCATCAAGCCAAGGAGTCCCGCGCTGGTAGATACCATGGGAATGAATCGAAGTATCCTCATCTAATTCATTTTTAACATTTATAACTACCGTATCACCTTTATTACACTCGATGAGAGGACCAGGAAATTGACCATTTATGAGAAACATATCTCGTTTGAAACCATCAGGTGCATAACTTCCTTTAGTGATAGTAAGATCATAAACTTTTTCATTCCCATTTTTTTTGTGAGAATTTTCGTATTGAGAATCTTTACCCGGCATAATTGGCAAATATAGAGACATATTTTTTGAAATTGATGAAGGTTGGGATATGTTAATATCATTTGCATTTTTTTTTCCTGCTTTTTTTTGAGAAACTGGTGAAGGTAAGTGTATATTAAAATTAAGATCATCTGCTTTTTTATTTTCTGTTTTTTTTTGAGAAGTAGTGAATGGAAAACCATTATTCAATGAATTTTGGGAATGAGGCAGAGGTACATTAATAGTAAGATCATTTGCTTTTTTATTTTCTTTTTTTTTAGTATAAGGTAAATTATGATCCGATAAAGTTGGTGATTTTTGATTTCCTGTTTTTTTTTGAAAATTAAAGTACGGAGAATCATGATTCGATAAACTTGGAGTTTTTTCATTTCCTGTTTTTTTTTGAAAAGAATTAGAGTGAGAATTATGATTCGTTAAAATTGGTGAAGATAGAGATACATCGGGAAATAGTAAAAAGAATGAATAAGTCAAAAAAGAAACCAGCGTCAAAATTTTTTGCGTAAGCATCTTTTGATCAAGCTGGAGAAAAAATTAAAAAAAGAAAGAACAAATAAATTAGGAGGAAAAATTACTGCACATATAAACTTACCGTCAAAGATTTTTCTGTCACAATGTATAACAAATTAGTCTTTTTTCATTAATTCTTGCAATAATTTAACGCATAAATATGCATGTAGGTATGTACGTAGGGCATACATGAGTATATTAATAGCATACAAATCATGCACGCTGAAGCAAAAAGAAATTTATGAAATACTTATGTACCACTTAGCACAGCAAGCATGTAATTTTAGCAAACAGCAATGAATTATCATTATATTATTTATTTTTCCTACATGTTTTCTATCGATGCATTTACGAAATAACACCGCTTCTACACATCAAATTATAACGTCTATATCCGTAAGAATTTTTTTTTTTTTTGCATTTTCATTTTAACGATAATGATAATCCCAACTTCTATGCTGAAAAGAATTTTATGAAATTCCAAATTTGTAAAAATTAGTAGGGTCATGTAGTAATGCAATTATTTCGAGTTGACATAAGTGAACAGGTCGAAAAGATGTTAAGCTGGTGATGCGCCTCGTAAAACCCGGAATAAGTCCAGTTCCGGATAAACAAAGAGGTGATCTGAATGACTTTTCCAAAAGCAGCAACCACTAGCTTGATAAAGGAGCTATGACAATGAAGATAAACCCATAAGAAACGCAATTCAGCTGCGATAAACCACAATCCGTGACCCAACTCCCGCTCCCAAAGGAAACCTGCCTGCCAGTTTTATAAGTATAATTGCCCTTAATATCAATATCACATGTTCACATTAACAGCCGGCCGGATGCAGGCAGAAAACCACTGGCCAACGTTATGACGCACAACTCGACTGCTTACGGTGATCTCCCTGTGCAATATGAGGTGAGTCAGTAGAAACAAGCAATTATTTTTTAATAAGTTTTAAACAAGAATAACTTAATAAAAACTTAATCAAATAAATTTTTTTTTAAATTAATTTAACAAGAATAACTTAATAAAAACTTAATCAAATAAATTTTTTTTTAAATTAATTTAACAAGTTTGTAAAAATTATTTAAAAAGCTTTTTATTAAATTTGGTCAAGGTTTTGTTAAGTTATTCTTGTTTAAAATTATAAAAAAAAATTATTATAAAAAATTTGCTTGTTTTCTATTGACTCACCTCTAGAGATGGGTTTCATGCGTGCGCATGATTCCTTAATCGTGCGCATTAATGCGCATTTTATCACATCTAAATTTTATATAGGAAAATTAAAGTATATGTAATTTAGGCCAGAGAGCGTAGTATCGGTCGAATTAAAGAATATGGTTACAAAAGCCTCGAAAAATTCCGAAAACAAAATGGGTGAAAATAAAAGAAGAGCAAGATTGAAGTAAAAATTTGAGCTCGTATCCGATATTTTTCGAAGGGAAAATATAAATTCCAAATTTTATATCATGCGATATCATGCGCATTTATATAAAGTGCGCATTAATGCGCATTCATGCGCATGTTATTATAAAATGCGCGTTTTTCCCATCACTACTCACCTCCATAATTATT